CATACGGATCAATCGCCCGTTCTCTGTGGGGTAACACACTGTTCGCCTGTGCATCTGACAGCCATCCCCAGCCCATTTACTGTCAAATGGGCTCCGCTCTCTTTGCCTGAGCTCAGATGCAGATTTATGCCAGAGCGATGCCGGTTCTTGCATATTAGATGAAAGCCTTGTTTGCATATACTCGCTCTCTCTCTCTCCCTCCCTCCTCTCCCCCCTCTTTCTCTCTTCCTTTTTTCTGAGGCGTCACTTTAATATGTATGCAAATGAGCTGCGCTCCACGGGCAGATATGTGTGGAGTCCTGTCCTGCAGTCAGGAGGTGTAGGAGAGATTGTGTTTGTATTTATGAGGCATGGGCCCTGCCGCTCTTGGGAGAGAAAACGCTGCGAGTAGTGTGGTGGAGGCTCTGCAGTGCAGGCAGAATGCAGATATGCCAATAACAGAGGTCATGGTTGTCACTAATGATAAGAGGAGACAATTAGACAATAGCATAGCTGTAATGTAACCCCCCCTTACACCCTCTTATACACACACAAACAAACATACAAACCTCTCACATCCCTACTCTGGCACGAAGCGAGCGAACAGACTGAGGAGGAGACGATTCTTCTGGAATGTTCTTTCTATTGCAGCAGCTCTTCTCCTCAGCTCTGCTCAACCTGGACGGGGGCTCCTTGGTGATTGGTGTGGGGAAAATACCAATTTATTGATCTCACGCATCACTCAGGGGGGCGAGGATCACTGTCAGAGGCTGAGGCAGAGGAGACAAGGTCAGGTCACCTATATGAGAGAGGCACCCCTAACCCATTTCATCAGTCTGAAGCTCTCCAGACAGGCCTCAAAAGCCTGCGATCAATAATGTTTCGGTAACAGAGGAAATTAAAAATAAAATGTTACGGCTTATAGTTACTGGCATCATCTTTATGTGTTGTGTCCAACTATTACACAACGATAGGAAAATATCTAGTTTTAGATAAAAAAAAGAATTAGTTCAGTGTGTTTTGTAAGATTTTATTTCAGAAAAAATCTTAATGAAAGAAACAATGAAATCCCGCTATTATGTTCAAGACATAATAATATCTTGGCTTAGTGCCAATCAGTGATCTACTAAGGAAATACACACACACACACAAATACGCACACATCCCCTTCCTCCATCATGAATAAACCATACTGTGTCTATGAGTCATATACCACCCCCACATCCCTCTCTAACCCACTCCCCCTATTCGGAGCTGCGAGAGTAAAAACGCTAATTAACGTGATGGCTAGCTCCAGCTCCTGTCAGCAGCTTGTGGGGGCCTCTCACGCAGCCAGGCTCCACTGGTCTCTGGTTTTAGCAGCTCTCTCCCCAGCCGCCATCTCTGGAGGACCGGGGCCCCTCATTCATATTCAGCCCCAGTCGCAGGCACCTGGAAGCAGCCAGCACCAGCACCACCTCCACCCTCTCCACAACCCCCTCAGTGTCTATCACCAGACCCCCATTCCAGCCCACCTCCTGTCAATGCTTGATCCCCAGTACTGCGGGTAAAGGACGCCCGCAAAACTCACCCATACCTCACCCACATACACACAAACACATTTATCCTATTTTCTCAAACTAGAATCCAATTGGAACACAAACTGAAAAACTCCATTTATGAGATGTGGGAGCTAGAAACTCCATCTAGGAGATGACACAACCCAACTGATGGGTTGAATCACCCAACGGTGGCGAGAGAGAAAAAGATAGAGGGAGGGAGGGAGGCAGGGAGGGAGGGAGGGGAGCTGCGTGCCTTGGTGGACTAGCTCTGTAACCATGACAACACAGCCGGGAGAGCAAGAAACAGGAACATACAGAATCTGTTTCTGCTGAGACTTGCACATGTGGCAGAGTACTGCTTTTCCTCCGAGAAGAAGAGAAGGGGAGGTGTGTGTGTTCGCATGAGTGTGTGTGTGCGCGTGTGTAGGCCCTTATGAAACATACATGCCTGCTGCCTCTCCAACCAAACTCACTCGCCTGCCCTAGTCACAGAGTGAGTCACAGCATAAAATACATTATGGTTGAAACTGAAGCACACAACCCAGTGTTTAGTGGCAGCCTTTTTTTCTTCTTTCCCTCCTCAACTACTGAATACGGTGAGGTGGAGGCTGGGATTCGGTACGAAGAGGAAAAGATAAAATATAAAAGGAAAGAAAGAGCAAAACATTTTCTCCACAGCCGCTGTTCCTGTCTATTTTCTCTCCCTGTGCCTCTCCGCCGCTCCCCTTCTGCCTATCTTTTCTCTTTCCTCTTGCTCCCTCTTTCTACAGGCTCAGTCTAACCTCCCCCTCCCCTTTCCTCAAGGGAATAAAGGTCGTAACGCAAATGATTACTCAAACCCGAGTTGCCATAGAAACGCAGTCATGTGACTAGAGCAGGCATGCATAGACCACAACAAAGAGGTGGATCAGGAACCAGCGCTGGGAAGAGCTGTAGCTCGCCTTACTGGTGCCTCAGTGCATTTCACTCAAATTCAAGCTTTTAAAAATAGGCGAGCAGCATGAAACGCAAGGGGGAGAGAAGCAGAAAAACCGACACTCTAAAGAGCTGGGAAGAGAGGCTGTAATGAATCTAGGCTGTAACACTGCAGTGTGCCATATATTCTACCATTCACTAGCATACCAAGGGTGTGTCCTATTCATCATGTCCTTCTTGAGGCAGAGCTCAGGCGCCAGTTGTCTGGAATTTCTGTGAAATGGCGTCAGTTGTAGAAATGTGGAGGGTGGTGGATTTGTGTGCTTCTAAAATAGGAGTATGGAACCGTAACTTTTTTCGGCGTGCTACACTTCAATTATTCCTCCTCAAAGCTCAAAGAGCAGGAGCAGCTTTTTGTCTGTGTGTAACAGTAAGGTTACTTGTTGTTGGAGCAGTTCTACTTCCAACTAGATGTGGGAAAACCTAAGATTTAAGAAAAGCTACGCATTTAGAAAAACACATTTAGGAAGAGATGTAAAAGAGAAAAGTAGACAGGAAAGTAGGGTAACTATTGAAGGATCTCTCCATTTTCCAACAAGTAACTAATTTAAAGTTGACATATTTTTCCTTAAAGGCTATCTTTCAAACAAAAAGCCAGAAAACCAGAATTAAGCCAAATGAGTAAAAGCTGCTGAGCACAACAGTCGGTATGTCAGTCTGAAGGAGGAACACCTGGAGCAGAATGAGAAGGTGGCCTGCCCCAACAGGACTCAGTTATCCTGCATCCAATCCACCCCCACCGAGATTAGTCCTACGCCCTGGATGAACCCGGCAACCTGTGACCATCTCAGAGACCAACAGACAACCCCCCAATACACAGAGTCGATCTTCACATTTAACAGTGCGAGGGAAAAACAACAATATTGTTATGGGAGATACATTTGCTGTATGGAAGCCAGCTAAAGTGCGGACTACTATTGCCTTGCTTTTATTCGTGTTAGCATTAATAGCCACTCATTTTGCTGAGCTCAATCAACGCTAGCAGAGCAGTAGGACGGGGTACATTTTCTGGTGATGAAGTCACCACATCTGCGGTTATGAACACTGTGTGTGTCAATGTCTACGCTTTTTCTTTTGCTCTCTCCCACACACACATCTGAATTCAGGCTTGCCTTCACACACCAGAAAACACTTACAGCACGAAGATGTATGGGCAAACACTTAAATACTCAATCTAAAGGGGTGCGAGTGTTACCCCCACCCCTCACTGACTGCTGGGCCTTTCCCTCCAAAGTCCACCTGCTCCCATGAGGTTTCAGGCAGCAGCTGAGTGTTCAGTGAAGTCTGCAATCATCCCGTGTCTAGACGATGTCTACTGGTAGACAAGGAGATGCACACTCTGCACAGGCTCAATGTATAAAAGAGAAGTCCCGGGATAGACCACGATGTGTTTGAGTTGGTGACGCAGTGGTTAATAAAAATGTTTAGAGCTAGACTGGGAACTCAGCCAACAAGCACCACCATGAATACAAAAAAAGCAGCAATATTTTAGAAACAGTTATTGTCCAAATTTAAAAAGAAAAAGACTTCTCTTCATGTTTTAGGCTCATTATTGCATTCCAAATGCTTTTTTTGAATTTATATCAATACAATAACTTTTGGTTGGTGTATCATTCAAAACATCTTATATGCGTGTGCCATTAAATGTCCTTTTTTTTCCTAAAGTTAAGTCCAAGAGTTTATCATCAATACTGCTGGAGCTGGCAATGACGTCAGGGACTTCTTAACACCAAGAAGAATTCGAAATAAACAATACTTGTTTATAACATAGAAAATAGGTTATCCAAAAAACTGCTATGTAGTTAAGAGAAGAATTTCAAATAAAAAGGGGAACATATCAAGAATGTTGTATAAGGTTTTCATTTAAGTATCACTTTTTTATTTTTTTACTATAAACTAAAAGTATTGTTTTATCATTCAATGATCTTCAGTGAAATGCCCTTAAATGGATACTGTTAATTAATAATGGAGTATGCTAATATGAAACTTTGTAGTAGACATGAGTTTATTCTTGGAATCTTAGTTTTAAACGACTTCTCTGTATGACGAGAGGATTTGAAGAAAATAACAAGAACTACAATAGAAGCAGAAAAGCACAGAAGCGAGAGATACAATGGGTTGTAGGGAAAGAAAAGGCACTGAGAGAACGAGCAGGTGTGGTGGGAAAGACCCATGGGCTTCAGGGAGAGAATAGATCAATAACTAATTTCAGTACCGAGCTTCACTCGCGCTGTTTTCCAATAAATGCTGGACTGCCTCAGCCCTCCCCCCACTATCTCTATCACCTTCTACAAGCAGGGAATGGACTCAGTGGAAGAAGGCTGTTTCCCCCCGCCGTAGTGATTGTTGGTTAGATGGATTATGTTCTTACAGCTAGTGTATTGTATAAATGTAATCCAACGTTGCCATTTCCATGTGTCCTCCATGGGTGCTCCCACAACCACTCCACATATGCAGTCTCTGTAACTTTTTTTTTTCTCACTGCTCTGCCTCCTGCAACCCCCTCCCAACCCCCTCCCTCTCTCTCTCTCTCTCTCTCTCTCTCTCACCCACCCTCATTCGACCAGGGCCAGTGTTGAGGTTTTGTCAAGAGATTCAGTCAGACAGGAGAGTGAAGCGTGTGTCATGCAGGGCTGCTGCTGCTGCTGAGGCTCTTCTCCTCAGAGGCTGTGACCTAGATAACCAAGAGGAGCTGGAGCGCTTGCAAGCCTTGGAGCCACTCCAGCTTCAGCAATGTCAGGAAGGGGTTAGTTGTGTAACACAATGTCCTATTTAGTTTGCTCACACACACAGAGACATGGACACAAACACATATGTACCCTGTAGTATTTCCGCATTACAGTGGTGTATTTCTTTTAGAAGACATTTGTTTATTAGCAAAGACGGGATGTGCAGGTTGGGGTTTGTGCATATGAGGAAGCAAAAAACAAAAAAAAGAGGAAAGAGCCCCTGAATTCATCTGAATTTAAACATTAGCATTAAGAATGCTTGGTAAAACTTTCCAGGCCAGCAGCCACTGCAGACACATTATGTCACAGTGGAACAGTGTCAAAACATCTACAGGCTTCCTGCAGTGTTGGAGCGTCCTTTTTTTGTTGCATTCACTCAACTGATGTTTGGTGTATGAACATGCTAAATATATATAGCAACAATTACTTCACTATAACCAGGCAGCCAGTAAGTTTGAGGCACACTCAGCGCTGCACTGCCACTACCTGGTCAGCTAAAAACAGTTACATGTTGACAGCCATAAAAAAAAGAAAAGTCAAACTGATATTTGTGTGCAGCTGTCAGGACTCTGATGGGGAGAAACCCGACTGATTTATTGGTTCATTTTTATATTTAAGCGAGAATATTCACAAATTCCACAATACACCACCATCATGTTGAGGAGATGAAATATAGATGGAGCCTACTGCGCTGGAGCAACTTAAACATGCTGCTCTGTGAATAGCTAAATCTGTGACCCTAACATCTGAGCTGAGAGAGCAACATTGCCATCTGGTGGATTTGATTGTGTATTGCCGCTGCCTAAACTCACTGATATGACTCACTTCACTGTGTGGCAGTTTAATCAGAATAATTAGTTGTAATTTGACATAACTTTGTGTCTTGAAGTAAACATACACTGGTTGTCTGGTTATTTGGCAGAGAAAACTATGATAAGATTTAAAATAAAAGGCCTCAATGGTGCCCAGTACTTTTATACAACTACTACTGGCTTTTTCAGTCCTTCAATTTAGATTTTCAGGTAGAGCACAAACTATTGGTAGCTTATATTGTCAGCGCTGGCTAAGTTGGGGCTTGAAGCAGTCCCAGCCGGGCTTAGGGATTGGCTCAGGAAGAATAAAGTCTTTCAGTTTGTCCGGTAATGGCAAAGCTTTCACTCTGTCTTCCAGGGGCCCAGGCTGTAGGTGGCTCCTTATAAACGCCCGACAAAAGTTTTGCAGAGCAGGAGGGTTCGCTTCATGCTCTTCTACGCGGCTGTGCAGGTCCTTGAGAGCCTGAGCGTAGGGGTGAGGGTCCCGACCGGGCACAGGGAGCTTCACTTCCACATGCAACGCGATGAGGTCAACCTTCGCTAAGTCGAGCAACACCTCAGCTTGCTCCAGCAGCTCGGAGGCGTGACTTTTATCGGGGCATTGCTGCAGGGCAGTGTGGAGCCGCTGGAAAAGGAGGCTGTACCCTGACCAACAAGAGTCGCCATGATGGGAGCAAACCAAAGACGCTCCGCTACGGATTAACAGCACCGCCAGAGGGAAGAGCAGGTCGAAGTGCTCCAGGCTCGTCTGCGTCAGGGTGGGCATCACCGAGGACTTGCCGTCCGCATTCAGACAGGAGCTGGGGTCAACACCGTGAGACAAAAGTAGCTGTGTGACTTTCAAGCAAAAGTTACCCATCTCAGCAGCGTCCTCCGCGGTGGCCTCCAGAGCCTCCGTGACCACAAACACCAGCAAGGACAAAGCCGTTTCACCGTCTAAAGAAGCCGCATTCACGTCAGCACCTGCAGAGAAGTTCAAATTAAATTCAAATAATGAGACAATTTGTCAATAAACTATATTTATTGATGATAATTTCTACAAATTAGTAATTGTTTAGGCCCTTTATGAAAATTCAAAAACAAAACTATTGACTGGTTTTAAATTAAGTTTTATTTGCTGCCTACATTAAAGGCTACTCCAGACATACATGTATAGTACTTCTATAAGGTTTGGTAACTTTCAAAACAGATCATAATTAGGAAGAATTAATGAGAAGGAATAGTACAAATCAAGGCAGTAGAGAATGACATAGCTTGACCAATAGTCTGTAGTGTTCCTTTCTTTAAATTAAGATTATTTTAAGTAGGTTTTTTATAACAGATTGGCTTGTTGTGATTCTTTACTCATACTGTAAAATCACGTACACTGTAAAGCAGCTATAGCAGCTGCTTAAACAAAACATTAAATAACAGGACCGGGCATCTCAATCTATATTAAACAAAGAAAAGCAGGATATCTTCATATTTGAGAGGCTCAAACTGTATTTATGGCCAGGATATGAACGACAAACTATTATTTTAAAATATAAATACCATTTTTTGTTAATTGATCAACTTCATCGCAGCTCTGGATGACTTCCATCAGTTGTGATAAACTGACTTTTAATAAAATCCCCAATGTGCTGCTTTTTTACGCTGGTGTTCACTGCTTGTAAATACTAATAAAGCAGATTGATGACACCACTACACTGCCTATGAAGACGTGAAAGACTTTGACTCCTAAACCTCCCGCAGTTAAAAGTCTTGTCTGTCAGTCAGTCAGTCGCTTCACACCGGAATCACAGGATTAGTTCTGCTCCATTTCCACTTACGATAACAACTCTATGTGCATATTTAAACCTGACACCCCCTGAGTTTACTTTGATCTCAAAATGCATACAGGTGGGCAGGTATGCATACTAACACAAGTTCCTGAATGTAGTGGTTTGAGTGCGATTCTGTTTTAAAGCGGACAAGAAGGCAAAGTGAAGATGAAGGCTGTTTCACAGTCAGTACCTCTCTGAAGAAGAAGCTCAATGTTCTCTGTGTTGAGCACAGTGAGTCCGTCGCTGCTTGCAAAGGCATGGAGCAAAGGGGTTTTTCCTTTAGGGACGAAAGCAAAACAATCAGGTGTTAGAATGAACCAACCAGTGAAAGAATAAATATCTTGGAATAAGGCCAGGCAATGAATGTACCATGTTTATCCCTTGCATTGACATCAGCACCGAGCTCCAGAAGGACGAGCAAGCAGGGCAGCCTCTCCAACTCCTCACTGGCCAGATCCAAAGGACTGCTCTCATGGATCTACCAAGTTACCATTTATATTACACACACAATGCTACAGAAAGATAATCATGAGAACAAAAGAGGACAGAAATCATCCAGAGTTGCCTCACCCTGTCTCTCTTTTCAACGTCTGCTCCGTGCCTGACCAGCAGCCTCACCATGTCTGGTTTGTTCCTCAAAACTGCCATATGGAGAGGGTTATAGTAGGACACTGGGTCTGGATAGAAAAACAGAAATGAATATTAAACAAATGGAGTCTTTATCACGTTAAGATTTCGGACAATGCTACATTTTCTTTAAAAAAGGCATGATGGCCAATTTGCCGCAACCCAATTCATGTTTAAAGGATCTGGTTAAAGGGTGTTTTCAGTACTTCCTTGTGTTGTATGTATTTACTTAGAGCTTCAGATGCAGCATATGTGTTGACTAACTGGTGACTGAGTGTTTTCTCAAGCTGTTGTTGTCAGACTCTTCCCCGCTGTAGCTTGCAGCAATCCAGTATAAAAGCAGATTATCAACCAAAGTTTATTCTAAGCTTTACATTGAACCGAACAGCCCCCTGTGCCTGATTGTAAATACTAACTACATGTATCTATATATTACTGACCAGATTATTAAGGGTTAAAACAAGCTTGGGTCCGTCCATCTAGTTAATACGGTTTATTTTTGGCTGATTTGAAAGCTGTAGTCATTATTAATATGGTGGATTTTCATGTTCCTAACACGAATACTGCTGATACTACTTCCTGAGCTCTTTGTGACATCGAAAAACATAAATATAAATATTATAGGCCTTAAAGTGCTGCATGAACACTAACAATGTATTATTATTTTTGCTTGACCAAATGAACCTGTCTAGTAACTAGCTATTCTATGATAAGCTTTTGCTACAGGCCTCTCAGATAGTTTGCACACACTATTTTGAAACATCAAGGCATGACAAACACAAAGAATAGAGAAGCTTGAACATAGTTGCATGCTATGTGGGAGAATGTGTCAGTGTTAACTTTCTGGAAAAAGGCATTCAATACATGTAAAAGATGAACGAAGCAGCCTCTGCCAGGAACCCTAATTATGTCCCAGGGGAAAGACATGCTTGCCACCACCAGAGGTCACCACAGCAGAGTCTGACACCCTGGCAGATTCTGTCACAGCCGTAAGACAAGCAGCACTTTCCACTGCAATTTGCAGAAGGGAGACTTTTTCTCTTCAGTGTATATGGACAACAACTTGCTCAATTTTAAACATGCAATCCTTGGGTAAGATTGAAAATGGCAGGGCCAGTTAGGTTCCACACTTCAAACACTTATTACATTTTCTCTAATTCAGGTTGTTGTGCATTTGACAAAGACTCCCGATCACCTATTAAAACTGTAGCAAGATGAAAGCTATTGTAGCTACTAGCCAAAAAAGCTAAAATAATAATATAACACTTCATTGTTAGATCAAGTCTGAAATGTCTCTTGCATCACAGCAGCAAAATATATACCTTTTGTTACAGAAACGAGTCCTAGAGATTTCTAGTGACAATAAGGCACTTAATTTCCCAAGAGGAAAACAATTGATTTAAGTTTAAAATAATAAAAAATGAACACTCATATATAACTTGTCATAGTACACAGGAAGAGATGTGTGATTAGGATTAGTGTGCCCTTATAGTGTTGTTTAGGGTTATCTGGCTGGCTACTCCTATGTACAGTATGTGCCATTTTATTGTGTACAATTAATTTACGAGATAGCTTACCCTCAAAGTTTAGATCAGCTCCGTATCGTAGAAGGATTTCAGCGGCGTCGACCAGTCCGTGCTCTGCTACCTTCGAGAGAGAACAGCTGATGCCTTCCACAAACACTTCTGACTGGGACTCTCGCTCCAGAAGCTCCGCCAGAGAGCTACAAGGAGCGGACTCTCCCTCAGGGCTTCTGACTCTGAACACAAGAGCAGAAAGGTGTACCGTTTCACCAACTGTATGCAATGCCACCAGATCAACTATACATTGTGTACTGGCAGAAGTTATAACAATATAGCTGGAGAAGAACAAACTGACACACACTTGAACATTTCAAAGAACTACCTTTTACTGTTATGCATCAGAAATTAGGATACATTGGATTTAACCTTAATAACCTTATTAATCTGTTTCACAAAAGGCTTTGAGAAAGAACTCAATGAACATACTGGAAATAAAACGTGCACAAAAAATATATATAAGGCATGAAGGCAAGGCAAGTTTATTTATATAGCACCTTTCAACACAAGGTAATTCAAAGTGCTTTACAAAAATGAAAGACATTAAGAAATGGCATTTAAAAACAGTCATTAAAAAGCAAAGATAATCAAATAAACATTAAAAGAAAAAATACATGAATAAAAGTTACAGTGCAGTTTAAGATATGAATAGTTCAATTAAAAGCAGCGGCAAAAATAAAAGTCTTTAGTCTGGATTTAAAAGTAGTCAGAGTTGCAGCGGACCTGCAGGTTTCTGGGAGTTTGTTCCAGATATTTGGAGCATAATAACTAAACGCTGCTTCTCCATGTTTAGTTCTGACTCTGGGGACAGAAAGCTGACCAGTCCCTGAAGACCTGAGATATCTGGATGGTTCATAATTTAGCAGGAGGTCAGAAATGTATTTTGGGTCTAAACCATTCAAAGCTTTATAAACCAGCAGCAGTATTTTGAAATCAATTATTTGACACACAGGAAGCCAGTGTAAAGACTTCAGAACTGGAGTGATGTGATCCTCTTTCTTAGTGTTAGTGAGGACTCGAGCAGCGGCGTTCTGAATCAGCTGCAGCTTTCTAATATATGTTTTTGTGAGACCTGCAAAGACACCATTACAGTAGTCCAGTCTACTGAAGATAAAAGCATGGACACGTTTTTCCAAATCCTGCTGTGACATTAGTCTTTTAATCCTAGATATGTTCTTTAGGTGATAGTAGGCTGATTTAGTAATTGTTTTAATGTGACTGTTGAAACTCAGGTCAGAGTCCATGACTATACCTAGATTTCTGGCTTTATCTGTTGTTTTGAACATTGCAGACTGAAGCTCAGCGCTAACTTTTATACGTTCTGCCTTGGCTCCAAAAACCCTTACCTCAGTTTTGTCTTTGTTTAATTGGAGAAAGATCTGACACATCCAGTCATTGATTTATTCAATGCACTTACTCAGTGTTTGAATTGGAGCATAGTCTCCTGGTGAAATGGTTATGTACATTTGTGTATCATCCGCACAGCTATGGTAACTTATGTTGTTGTTTTTCATTATCTGAGCCAGTGGTTCATGAACAGTAACGTTTTTTTTATTTTTAGCAAATTACAATAAAATACTCTGACAATTAATTCAGGGTGGTATCCCATGATCTGGGTAATCTTGAATATCCTCACAACAAGTGACTTGAAAAAGCAGTCTGGGTTGAAAAGGTAGAAAAGTAAAAAAATAAAATGGGGCAAGGATATGTCATTATCATGAAAGAACAGACTCACAAAATGTTGCAATTTGTTTTTAACATTTTCATCCTCAGCCTCAGGATTTAGGAGTAATTATTTGATTGTGTTTTACTTAAAAGGATGTTTACTACAAAAACACTGTCCTATTTGTGATGCAATAAATACCATTTGTGATTCCAGTAAGTTTTAAGCATATCTTCTATATAATAACCTGAATTGCAACTACTTTGGTCAGGATAATCGTGAAAACAAATGTTTATATCGTCCTCTGCCTACAACTATTTATAAATAATATAAATATGGTGCCTTCAGCTTTACCTGTCCTCGTGACTTCCGCCTACTTCCAGCAGTCCGACTGCACTCATGACAGCGTCCACGAGCGGCTTGTACTCATATATGATCCTGCGAAACCCATGGAGGAAAGGCATGGCTCCTCCGCTCAACACTGTTTAGTAAGTCAATACCTAAAAAACTAAGTACAAAAGTACAAGTCATATAAGGGACTTCATTTTGTATAGAGTCTCTTAGCATTTTGTTGAGCAGACACATGTATTGGTTGGAAATAGGACACAATTTAAACAAATTTTCCACTTTAGACACGTTGCCACTATGTGCATAGCATTTCATCGTCACCTTCTTAAAAAGTTATATTCTAGCTAGCTAACTTAGCATGCACATGTTAAACGTCACAGTCACTGCTAGCATTGGTAGCTACATTAAATGCATCGCTCACATTTGTTAAATCTTGAATGAAATGATCTAAATTGTAAGAAACTCACTGATAACGTTACTCCCGCCGGGTTGTTTCCCTTAGTTCATAACAGGAAGCACTTTTCCCGCACGCCCACATCTGTCCGACGGTGTTTTTAGTCCCCCTTGAAGCTAAAAGAATGCAACAAATGTTCCACTTTACGCTCTGTCCTCACAATGGCGAATATTTTCTCCACTAAACGAACACTGTTACAAGTTAACCGATGAATGAAGAGAAAGAAGACTATTTGAGGAACAAAGATACATCTGCAGTGTACAAAGCATACAAAGCGTACAAAGTGCGTACAGGACATTTAAAAAAGATCTTAATGTTCATTTTATGTTTACCCATTAGTCCTCACTAAATTAGGAAAAGTCATGAAATACTAAGCAAAATGTGAACCATTTTTTTAGATACGTTAAACATTGAATGGGGTCAAATTGACCCCAAGGATAACAGGAGGGTTAAATAATGAGACATTGGGAAGTGGATGGTATTTTATTTTTTGTGAACAAATTGACCCTTGAGCGTAGTTTTTAAAAGTTTATCAGCTATTCTAATGAAAAGGAACGGGTTATATAACAGAGTCCCTATTCCAAATATTTGGGCAGAACATGTAGGCTACACAGATATGGTTGCTGCTTTGGGTGGTTTGTGTTTGCTAAGATGACACTGCTCTCATGAGGGCTTTCATCAAGTGATAGCCTCCTTCCTGCAGTCCAACCACAATGGCTAATCTTTCCTGCACTAAACGAAATATGTCCAGTTTGCTGCTTAAAAAAGAGGTAGATGAATAAATAAAAAATAAAACCTAAAGCTGGGCTGTATCTGCAGTTTTTATTAAATAATAAGGGATTGGGAAGCGAATGGTAATTTCTTTTTCGTGAACAATATCTCAGGACACTGCCCAGACGTAAAAAATGTTTTCCCTCCAACAACCATCACAATTGTTAACTGTAAATATGTCAGTCCCTTCCTTGTAAGTAATTCTGCAAGTCGATCGGCAAGTTTCATCTTTAAAATCTATTTGTCAAGTGTCGCAGATTATTTAGTCATCTCCTATTTCATAGTCTTTTATTATTATTATTATCATTTTAAAAAAAAATCTTGATTTTATTTATTTTTGATTTTATTAATCTGTGTGAATCTTTGCTGTCCTGTTTTTTCATGCTTACCCTGTTGCTGCTTGGTACAATGGAATTTCCCCTTGGGGATTAATAAAGGTTCATTTAATCTTATCTTATCTTATACTTCCCTTTTGTGTCTGACATGTTCTGTCATGAAATAATAACCAACATTTTTGGAATTTTGTGTACTTTTTCAGAGATCAAGTAATTGATTAGCATTTCAATTTTTTCTTTCTGAGAAAAATGTGACTAGGAAAATATTTTAGCTCCGACACATCACTTCCTACGTTTTCTTTGTCCATATGGCACTTTAGTCTAAAACGGCAACTTTCAGATTTATTTTTGACAACTACTCCATTTTGCTGACAGCATCTGGTTGGTAACAGTCGCCTTTGTCCTGTTTAGCAAGCAATCCCCTGCTGTGTCTGGCTTTGGTGACAGATGGCTCGCTTTGAGAGATGTGGAGGAGTGCATTCTAACTAAATATGTAATTTGAACATATCTGTGAGTCTGATTTTCAACACAGCATATGTTAAGTGCATTTTAACATAACATGTGTTGTTGCTGACACACTACTGAAGAAGAAACATGAGTTAAAATCACTTTTATTTAATATTTTTTAAGAGTGTGTGACCTCAAATACAAAATGATATGAAAACAAAGAGGATAAGTCAAACAAAGGGTGTGTTTGCAGCACTTCATGTGAAGCTGATACATACCTTCCATTTGTAAGATGTCCCAATTGGTTTATTTAAATATTGAGATACATTCAATCAATGCTAAAGGCTGTATTACCCTTCTGCATTGAAACAAAACTAAAGAGCAAACACAAAACAAAGTAAGCTCCTCCTCATTTAATACATGTAATTTGATCAATCTATACCAAATATAGGATATCAATAGATCCCTAAAAATAAGTTTAAAAAAAAACAAGCTAGGCAAGTGCTTTCTCCATTTGTTCAAATCCTTAACATAAAGAATTCAATATCAATCTTTTGCAAAATATGTGTTCAAATATTATTAGAAACTTAATAAGTAAACAAGATAGGCATAATTGTATTTGACTATAGTTGTGTGTAATTCAATACAGTTTGCCGTATGACTGCTGACCAAATAATGGTGTTTTTAAACTCTGTCTTTAGGTGGCAGCAGTGCACCACATGTCTACACCCCTTAGCGGTGAGCTTGGAATCAATGCTACACATATTGTAAACTCATGCATGAGCGCACAGTTTTACTTATGCATTGAAGCAAACCTAAACCATCATGTTAATGTAGACATGGACAGAAATACAAACAAACGGCCCTGGGAGAATCAGTTTTCCATACCAATAGCCCCTCCTCTGAAGGGGAAAATAGAATTGCAGTAATTTAATCGAGGCTTGATTAATTCTCATTGTGTCAATTTCAAGACAATTATTATTTTTCCTTTCAACAGATCCAATCAATATAGCATTGTTCCCTGAACCCATGGCAGCCTGCCCAGAGTCCATCTAATGTAGCTAAAATCTCTTTTGCTATTTTCCAAACAGGCTCAATTTACCCATGATTTTGGAGCCATGTGCTCATGAATAATCGACTTTATCTCCCCTTTTACAAATCTGCCCGTGATTAGTGCTTAATTCTTTGTGCACACACCTGTCTGGATTTCCCCGGTGAAGCAGGCAATCTCTCTTTTCCACTCTGAGGTTAATTTGTACCTTTGCCACCATGTGGTCACACGAGCATACTGAGCCTTGTCAAACAACAGTAACAGTAGGTGGCGAAACACATCCTGTGCCTGGCTATGAAAATGAAAAAAGAAAGTCCCCGCTACAGGGCCCCTCTTTCCAGTTTAGCATTAGCGTAAATGCAGGTAATTGAGTAAGATTAGGAACATCACTGTGGCACAGCAAGTGTCACAAAGCGTTGCATTTTAAGTGCTTGTGGCCATCAAAACATACAATTTGAAATGGCTTGAAAAAATCTTCTAAAACAAAACACCTTTCACTTTGATACAGCAGTATGACCTCTCTTAATACTATATGGTAAAATAACACACAGAGATGATGGGTATCAAAGAGTGATGTTGATAGTTAAGAGCAAAGCTTTTGGGAAATATTACCCTCTGTGCTGTTTGTGTCTTTTTCTTTCCATCTAATTTTGAGCGGGATTGGTAGGATGGAGGCAAAGAGGGAAGATAACTGCGGTTCCATTCCTATACCCCTTACGAGTAAATTGGCTCTTTATCAAATTTAGGTCTCATCTATCAATACAAAGAACGGTATCGAAATTACTTTGTTGGCCACAAATCGCTGGCAATAGATTGAGCCTCTGTTGAAACAAGGCCATCATTTATCTGGTTCACATTTCCTCCTGAGGTTAGAGGGAGCAAGACACACTAAGACTTTTATTTGTTCCATGGGTGATAGATGTAACCTCCTTGAATCTCTGATGACCAGATTACCACAAGTAAAATAAGAATCTATTAAACATTTAGACCTGTTGGTGCCCTGTGAGATTCTCTCTGTTTCTAACCAATAGTGTTGTCAAGGGAGCTGGAGAAATATGGAGGTCTTCCTACGCTGAGGAGATTTACCCAGCTACAATGTATTTTGGGTTATGCAAAGCTTGGTAGTTTGTCCCAGGAGGCTGATGCATAAAAGAGAGGTTAATTACCGGGGATAAAAAGTACTTATAGATGTAATAAAACGGAACACACAGAACTCTTCAGCTCCGGTAAAAGCTACACTCTGAGGCAAAAGGTGATAGAATACCAGCGGGGAAGGTGAATGTGGAGGCAGTGAAATGATAATAGAGTGGCAGCGCATTGTGGTTTGGTTTCCCTTAGTTCCATACCGAGAGCTGGAATTATCAGACCAGCAGGTCTGGGCCTAATATCCTTTTGTGCTGGCAGCGTATTGCCAAGTGAAGATTGTGGATGGAAATAATCAGCCCTTTTTAAAGGTCAGGGGAAGTTAAGCACACCCAAAGTAGACCATGACATATTCTAGCTGATAAGAAATAACTGTCTGTGTAAGGAAGAATGATGAGAGTTCACCTTGTCCCATTTATGCTATCATGATTACTCAACTGTCAGTCAAATATAATGCCACATATGCAGTTGACCCCAACTGCAACTATAGGAAACTCTGAAATTTGAGACGAGGAGAGTAATGTTTGGAAAAACTTATAGTGTTGCCATTATAGTTTGATAGCATCTTCGGTAACACTTTACGGTAAGGGTACATGAATCATCATGAATTCATGCATGACTTAATGCATGAAAAAGCATGAACTCATTCATTTAGTACTCATGAACTATCAGTAATGTACAGGTATTTATGGTATCTCATGCATGACTTAATGCAGGAATAATACCTTAATTAATGCATCAACTAAGGTATCTCAATCATCATGACATCTGAGTTATTAATGATGTTCATGTCTTCTTCATATAGATCTGCAGTTAAAGTGACAGGCCAAAAAACTCACACAATTCCAAGTGTTGTAATCATGATTAACTACAAATCAATAATTTGGCACCTTAAGGGAAACCAAACTGAGAAACTTTTGAAAGAACATCTTGCAGTTATAGAATGGACTTACTGGCTTGGAAACAGGCATAAGAAAGGAGCTCTCGGTCAAGTGGTGACCTGTTCCATCGTTTACACTGATAAATAACATGTGATTAATGGTCAACACACTGAACAGGGTTGGGGTCAACACTTTTAATGCGACAGAATATATGCACTGCTATGACCGACCGACAAGGTCACCACTTTATTTGAAGGGGCACAAACATGCTTAGTTAATCATGATTACAACACTTAGAATTGCTGTGACTGGTCAGTTTTTTGGCCTGACCCTTTAATTGCAGATCTATCTGAAGAAGACATGAACATCATTAATAACTCAGAACTCATGATGATTGAGATACCTTAGTTGATGCATTAATTAAGGTATTGTTCCTGCATTAAGTCATGCATGAGATACTA